TTAGGAGCAAATTAAAGATTATAGGATGATGGCTATGTTTGTTTTATTGATTACATAAAATTTTTGAACCTATATTTGGTTTTATAGGATTTATTAGTAGTTGGAGAGAATGGAATGTAGATTTTCTAATGAATCTTTGCTTAATTTTTTTGTATTATTAATTTATTATATTATTGTGTTGTGCAGGGATAAAAAAGTTTCATAAAGATTTATATATATAAATTTGATTATTCCTATTTTTTCTTCAGCTAATTAGGCTTTAGCATCCACAAAATCTCGAGAGAAAATTTATGTATGATTATTTTATAGAAGATTATTTCTAGACGTTAACTGTCTGTTAGACACACCCTAAAGTTTGAATTAAGGCATGTATAAAAAATATATTATATTTGGAAAATTGGGATAGTAACGTTAGTTGAACCAAAATTATTATTCAAAATTGACTATAATAGACCTTTAAACCCAACATAATAATATAATGTATTTTCTGTATTAATATATATCTCATAATTTAAAAATTTATTTATTTTTATGATTTATCATTTTAATATATTATATAAGTATAACAACTACCGTTATTTTTAACTTTATTAAAAAAAATATCAAATATTGATAGTATTAATATATCTTCTTGTTACATTTTTTAAAATTTATTTTCTTTAATGATTTATTATAAGTGTAACTATTACCTTTATTTGTAACTTTGTTTAAAAAAATACAAATATTAATGCATATATATAGTCGCATTAGATAATGAATTAATTAGATAATAAATTAATTAGATAATATTTAGTGTATCTGAAAAGCACTGTTTATCAATTATTTAAAGGCCTTGAAAAGAATTTGACAATAATTCGCAAAATTTTACAAATTTAACTCAAATGTATAATTAATTCAAAATTTAAGAAAAAATGATATAAAAATTAATTCGACATGTTTTAATTTGTAGCTATTTAAAACATTTCATCATATTTTTCGATTTTTGTCATTTTTTTTCTTCTTCATGTTTTAGACACTGCTTAAATAAAATTATTATTCTTTTTAATTACATATTGAGGAACTAAAATAAATATATCGCTTTTTAATCATAAAAACATTACGTTCTTGATTTCTTTGGGACGTTTTATTATTTAGTAAAAAATTTTATTTTTTTTGAAAAGAATTAACGAAAAATATATCTAAGGTTAACTCTTTTTATAAGAAAGGTGAGGGTATAAACCTTACACCTTGTAACTTCTTTTATATCTTATCTGAGGATTAATAAATACTTATAAATATAAGGTCTTTTCCACCCGCTTGGGTCTTATATAAATTTTCTTTTAATTTGAAAGGTGAAACGTAAAATTTTACTTTCTATATAAATTTATTTAATTTTTGATACTTATTTCCATAGCCATTTTAGCTAAAATTTTAATAAAAAAATTAACATTGATATAATCCTTCTGATAAACCTGTTCATTATGTACAATTAAAACATTGCACATTATAGAAAATGCTGATATTTTATGCAGGGTGTAATTAAACCAAACCGAACCTTGAAACTAAAATAGGCCATTATATATTACAGACATCCAACTTTATTTGAACCTTTACATAAGAATATTTTGAAAGGAAAGAACCAAACATAAATATGAATCGGTTTAATAATTTATAAAGGTATGACTTTATATTTATTTATCTAAAAATGCTAACTATAATTTTAAAAAAAAATTAATATTTTAAAAAAAAATTAATATTTTAAAATTATACTATAAGGTTATATATTTTTTTTTTTAAAATTAAAAAACTATCATATTGAATATAAATTTTATGATTCACATCAAATATAAAATAAAATAAAACAATATTATATAAAAACGGAGGTGGGACTACAAGTTCCCAAAAAACATGAGTAATTATATTTTAAAATTGTGATTTGAAGGTTTTGTTTTAAAAAATAAAATTCTTTAGGTTCTGATGTAAGGGCTCTTGTCTTATCCCCTATATTTTTTAAAAACTTTAAAGTTACGCTTGGCATATCCAAGGGAAGAGATAACGATCGGTGTAAAAATATAATTTGTGAATTTGGAATATTTCATTATTTTTCTTCTCGGCTATATCATCCGGATTAGAATTTAAATTTTTTGGGAAAGAAGATACGCATGTGAAGTCCCAAATTAAGGATTTCCCTAAAGACCAAGGCACGGAAGTTAAGCCATTTGGTCTTAAGCCATCATCTAACGATAAATTTGTAGGCTCCAGGATGTTTGGTATTCGGGCCCTGGTAAGAGAACGGCTAATAGCTAAATTAATTGGTGCATGCCTTGCATGCCTGCCTTGACTATATATACAATTTAGACCATGTCTCCCTTTGGAGTCAACTAATATTTTACATTTGATGCATGTATGTTATTATATTACTTAACTTTTATTTCTTATTCAGGTTTTGTAATTAAATAGAAATTAAACTTATCTTCCTTTAATTTCTGAATTCTAAAATATTTTGGTTTGATTTTTTTCTTTTTAAATCCTCTCGGAACAACCGGGATTTTTACACCACACCTTTGCTTAGCAGCCCAAAAGTTAAAATCTCCTAATATTGGTAAGTTTGCAATAAAATTTTAACCATAGGTAGTAATTTCGTATAGCGCAGTCTAGGTATAAAATGCCTCAGAGCCGATAGCATTTCTAGGATTTTCGCATGAGTGTTTGAAATATAAGGTAGAATAAATTTTTTTCCGAAAATAAAATTTTATATTTATTTTATTTTTACATATTTTTTGAGATATAAGGTATATAAAAATTTTATTGGCATCAAAATTCCCATTTTAGGTCCTATTATTCGGTGTCCAAACGATCTAAAATAAATGGCTTTCTCATTTTTACTGATTTAAATAATTCTAGCAATTTTTAACAATTAAAAGGGTTCGGCCAAATCATGATTGATTTGATATGAACATTTTTTTTTATTGATTGAAACCCCTAATAATTGATATTTATATTTAGAAAATTTCTAATACATTAAATTATTATCTATTGTAGTTTCTTTTTTCCCAACGTATATGCTTATCCAAATTAAATGGATTATAATTTACCATTTAAATAAAGGAAAAAATATTTACGAATTTTAGAAACCAAGTAAATATTTTACAGAAATTTAAATAGCCCCCCCCCTTCCTTCCCACCGACATTTTCTAATCTTTTATTTACATACATAAAATATTTTTGGGCCTAAAAATATTTCACTTAAAAATTTATAAAATATTTATAAAAATATTTACAATTGACTAATGATATGCCATTTATTTAAACCCATGCTCGGCCCTTGAAACTTTGAAATCATAATTTAATCCTAAGCTATACATAAAAAAAATTGAATGAAAAAATTACTAAATGATTTTATGATCATTTAAGATTTTTGACATTTGACAATATTTTTCCCAGCCGCTATTAGCAAGTTGGAGGCTGAAAATTTTTTTCTACCATTTATGATATTTAATATAGAACAAATTTTAGAAAAATAAGGGGGTCGAAATGAAACTCATGTTTATTTACCTATATCTCAGATTAAATCTTTTAATAACTTTCAACTGGACAATGCCCAAACCTTAAACTAAAATAAAACTAGATAGACTTTTAATTTTAAAATCTTGACACTATCAGGAAACAGATTACTACAAAAATGATTAATATTAAGCTGCCAAAATTTTATTTTAAGCGATTGGAATATTTTCAATTAATTCATTTATTCTTTTTCCCCTATGAGATTGAGTTACAAAATTATAAAATCGTAATTATTTATATTACCAGTTTTTAAGATTTCCGCTAAAGTGTAAATTAATCACAATTGAAATGATAATGATTGTGTGCATAATTTATAAAACCTCTATTCTATTATTAATTCAAGCAGTCTAAACTTAACCTGTTTTATTAATACAAACATACCTGAACGATTAAAATACGTATCTAACACAAACTTAAACCATTAAAAAGATCTGTGAACCACGTTTAGCTATTCTGATAATAGTTAATTTTAATAAATAAGTTTTAGTACAACTATTGTTATTATATTTTGTATTTCACTATTTGACGTTTTCAATATAATTTAATAAAAGAAAATCTTAAAAAGATATTATAATTGTATAGAGTTTAAAAGAGAAAAATCATAAAATTTTACAAATTATCAAATCCAAGAAATTTTAATTTATTTTATTATAAAATTAAATAAAAATTTTATTAATTATTTATTAAAATTCCTATTCCATATTTTCTTTCGAATTTTTTAAAGTAAAAATAAAATATCTGATTCTGACACTATAAAAAATATTGCAACTATTCTAATAAAATATATTATCGGTATTCTTTAGCCGAGCATATCTTGGTCTGTTCTTAACTGGAGTAATTAGATATAATGATTAAAAATACTATAATCAAACCAAGATAATCAACTAATTAACACTATTGGTAGATAAAATAAAAAGTGAATATGAACGTAGTATTATTTCATGAATATTTATTTTGATATTATATAGAGAGAGTAATTATAAATAATATACAAACTAGTTTTAAAATAGGATAAATTTAAAAACCATGTTAAGAATATTTTAAAAATTAACATTTTCTCTAATTTCATTTGATTAATTGTCCTAGAAATTGTGTTACCACAGTTGTTATAATAATATTGTTGTCGACTAGATGTGAATGTTTTTTGGGATTGACTTTTTTAAACTATATCTAATTCATCGTAATTATTATTTAGATTGATCTCATAAACAAATGAATAAATAATCATGTTGATGAGTTTTTAATCAAATTATATTCTGATTAAAATATTTATACCTAGTTTATCTTTAGATTTTTTCACTTATTATAAATAAAAGGATAAGAATAAAATTAAATCACAATTAAGTTATTTAAATTAGATATTATATAGAATTATTTAAAAATTACATATTTCTTGAGTTATATTTTCTGTAAAATATAATATAATATTATAAACATTGGCTTTATCGTAAAAAGAATGTAATTGTGATATAAAGATTTCTTATTTCAAAAAATATTTGATCTAATGGATTAAGTAGTTAAGGATATTCCACAAAGATGCCTGCCATTTGTTATAAAAATACCCTTGTACAAGAGGATAATATCTTGGTGAAAGTGCCTATGTTCAGACGCGCAAGCACCGGGATAAATCTTACCCTTCCCCCCAATTAGAAAAATCAGATGCCGGTAAATATATTTTTCAAATTATTACAGTTTTATATATTAATTTATATTTTATACTAATAATTTCTACCTTTTATCGCATATATATTCATTTGCATTTATTTATCAAATTCTAAATACAAATAAACACGCTACTTGTACGAATTAATATTGATTTTATATTTTCGTTAACTTTATATTTATCAAACATTCTAAAATTTTCTACCAAATCATTTGAATCACCTTAATAAAACGAAAGTAAAATATTTCAAAAAAATAACAGCGATTTGATTGTATTATAAGAATAGCTGAACGCATTATATTGAAAATTAAGTAAATTAGGGCAGCATATGACAAATTTCTTAAATTACATATTATTGTTGAGTAAATGAAGAGCTCTATCTATTTAACATTTGTCTATCTCACTGAAAGGCAATCCCATCCTTCCAATATTAATATAGGAAGTCAAAGAATAGTATAAAATAAGTCTCTTCTCTTTATTGGATATCTTTATAACTCAAATAAATATAAGGTTTTTGAGTGATCAGAAAGAACTCACGAATCTGTAGATAATATTGCCACAAAATCCTTCCGAATCTATTTAAAATCTTGATAAAGAAAAAATTAAATATATGGCAGATTTCATAGTGAGGATGTCAAAGTAGTTTTCCATTATGCATTCTGCTAAATGAAAACTATTATAAAAGGTATTGACAATGTTCTAAAATATCTACAAGTGTTGTTAAATATTGAGCCTTAGTCAAGTTTTAGCCTAAATAATTGAATTATTAAATTGAGTCTCAACTTAAAGATTTATTGGAATATTTTTGGTTAAAAACATGGCTACGCTGTTTTATAATTGTCTAAATTTAGTTATTTTAACAACATTAATATATTCATGCTTTCAATAATTTCAAGTATATATTTAATTATTTTCAAATATGTAAAAATTATTATATTTTTTGGCAATTCTACCTATTAGTAAACAATGTCAGAACACTATCTGAGAAGTAAATCCATCGCCTATTTTTTTGAAATATCTTAGATGTAATTAATATTTTTTCTAATTATATAAATTATTAAATAATAGACTCCCTCGAGTTTTACAGGCTAAAGATGCCACTGAGTTGAGAAAAATTTAGTCTAAAATCTCGGAAACATAGGTTTTTTCTCATAGTTTTATAATAATCAATGATTTTTTTTTTATAAAATTTAACTTTCATATATTTAATGATATATTATAATGAGAATTATTTGTAAAAAATTAATTTTTTATATTTACTTATATCTTCTGGACTTTCTAAATATTAAAAAGGATTATAAAATATTTATTATATTTCTAATTGACTAACTCTACTTATCATGAAAATGATTTTTTTGATTTTGAAAATTACAATTCTTTTTATCAAGCAATTACCAATTAAATTAATGTACACTATTGTAATATCTTATTATAATATTCTTTATTATAGGTACAAAATTATTCAAACTTGGATCCACGAAAACTTTAATATTTTAATAAAAATTTTTATAATAATAACTTGGATAAAATGAGAAAATCTTATTCTGCAAAATTCAATAATATATATTTATAGGGCTCCTATTTATTTCTCTGGTTATTTATTAAAAATTATAATATTGAAAGAAATATTTTTTCAGTATAATAAAGAAATTGTAAGTATTTTATTAATTTTACTAATAACATGTCCCATATTATAATTAATTATATTTAAATCTTGAGATTTTTGATATGCAAATATTAATCATAATCACTATAAAATGTCTAATTTTTTAAATATGCACAAAAATTTATTAACATAATATTATTTAATATTATAATAATAATAATAACAATAAACGTTACATCGAGTGTAGGCTATAAATAAATATAATATATACTTATTTTTATTCTAAATACATAAACAATTTAAACCATATATGATCAGTTCCCAACTCAATAGAACTCATAAACCTTTACCCGATAGCAAATTTTTTTAATGGAATCACACAAATTTCATCCAACAAGTAAATTTTAATATGAAATTATATTTTACCAAATACGTCTCTAATTCATCAGATTATATTTTCATACCAATAATTTACTCTACTTTAACAAATAGAAATTTGATGAAGAATTTCATAAGAGACGTAGACAGTCAATTATGAAAAAAATGGGAGGATCTTCGTTAAGATCTTTATTTAAGGCAAAGGATAGCAATAGCCACTCTTAGAGCCAATTATGTTTGTTTTAAATTTTATTAATGAATAGTATTCTCTCAAGTAAATAAATATCCTTGTTTAATAAAGCTGATAAAAAATTATTATTGAATTAATATATTTTTATAAATTATAGTTCAATAAATATATTGAAATACTAATATTTCTATTAAGAAATAAGATTCTTTAGGTTCTGATGTAAGAACTCTTATCTTATCCCCTATATTTTTTAAAAACTTTAAAGTTCCACTTGGCATATGTCCAAGGGAAGAGATGACAATCGGTGTAAAAATATAATTTGTGAATTTGGAATATTTCATTGTTTTTTTTTCTCGGCTATATCAACCGGATTAGAATTTAAAATATAATTACACATGTTTTTTGGGAACTTGTAGTCCCACCTCGGTTTTTATATAATATTTTATTTATTTTATTTTATATTATTTTAATTTAGTATTTTAACGCTATGTATTATTTTACACGAAAGGAAAAAATAAAGAATTATTAATATTTCTATTTATAGCTAACAAATAAAAAATCAAAAATTATATTAAAAATTTTTTTTTATACTAATTTATATTATTTTGATTTTTTTAAAAAATTTTCATCGCTACAAAAACTTTGGATTGGATTTAACTAGGTAGAGATAGTGTTGTTAACAAGACACAATTCGCGAACCCTACTCAAAATTTAGGTCGATTTTTCTACCTCGACCCAAGTAATAGCTAAAGGTAGATCTCGACTTAAAATCTGGATCGCTTTTTTTTTTGAATTTGACTTAAAGTTTGGGACGGCTTTATTACCATTTTGACCCAATGTAATGGTCGTTTTTCAAACTCGTCGTAAAATATATATTCTATTTTTTTAATCTGACCCAAAGTTGGTGTCTTTTTTCTTTGGCCCGACTCAGAATTCGAACCTAGCTCAATTATGGTATAAATTTTATATTTCTAATTAAGTTTATAAAATGAATATATATCTATTTTGAATGGGTTAAATTAAATAAAATATAGGTTTTGGAAGAAAATGAATCACGAGCATTTAAAAATGGCAATTTTCATAAGTTATTTTAAACTTTTTAATATTTTTTTTACAAACAATTGAGTGACAATATAAATAATCATATTAGATGATTAGTAAAAAAAAATGACAACTATTTTATTCTTTATTTTTAAATTGTTGAAACAGATGGCTGAAGTAAATAAAGATATGATTAGGTATTTTTTTAGAGCAATTTAGAAAAATAAAATAGGTTCTAAGTTTGGGAAATAAAAAGATGAAAACAAAGAGATTATGAGAACATAAAGAAAGTAATAGCACCCATAATTTATTGAGAATATTTTGAAAATTTTATAGCAGTCTTAATCAAAGATTTTGATAATAAAACATTACATTGGAGATAATAAAAAATATTATGGTTTAAAAAATTAATAAGAATTTAAAAAAATTATAGATTTGAAATAAAGAAGAATATGCTATTGTATATGAGAATATTATATATTCACCAATTTTGATATAATATTAAAATTAGAGTCAGGTGATTGGCTTTCCGTCAAGGATATTAAACTAATCGAGTTCATTTAAGTCTCTTACTATTTTTTGTAAATATTAATGAGATCGTAACCTTACCTACTCTCCGTCAGCCATCGAGAATATACAAATTTCAGAATGGGGGATTTAAGTGGGATTTTTCCTTGCCCTCCCACTTCCCTCCAATTCCTTGGAGCTACCCCTTCAAGTAATCTTATTACTTTTGTCACGATCACAGACTCATACTTCATTGCGATATGACTCTAACCTACTTAATTTCAATGCCTCAGATTACGGTTGACTCAAAAGATCAAAATATGATTACTTAACCTTGGCTATTCCTGTATAAATCCACAACCTAAGCTATGATTCTATAGCCGGCGTAAAAAAATGCAAATAATGCCAAGTATTCATTATTATTTATTACAGAAACTAATTAATTTCAACTGTGAAAATTTTTAAATATGCAAGATTAATTATTTCTTTTTAAAAGATTTGGAACACGCGACTTTAGATGTCATAATAAATTACATAATAAAAAATTTTCATTCTCAATCTCAACAATGATAGTAAAATTGTTGCATTAAATTATTTTTAAAACAAATAAAATTTCCCCTTTTTCATCAGGCCTGTTCTCTAACCAAATTTTAAATATATCTTATAAAATTTATTTTTTTAATTATAATGAAATATACTTGGCTTAATGTTTTCTAAATCTAAATGGATGTAAGTAAATTTATTTTAGTTACTCTAATTTAGAATTAATTCATTTTATTAATAAATCTACCATTTATATTCAATCCACTCTCTAAATAAAATTGATAGTAATTTTATATAATAAATATATATATATTTTTAGATTAATGGTCAATATTATATTGCAGGTTTTTAGGTCCACTTATTACAGGCCTTTGACTATATAAAAAAAATTTTAAATATTTTTCTTTCAATGTTTAGCCATATAATAAATCTTTTTAGTGAAATATGAGAGTGGAGGGTTGGAGAAATTTATTCATTCGCCTAAAATGATATTTACAAGATTAAAAAGATTTCCGAAGTGGAAAAACATTCCCAGTGCCTTCTTTGCCACTGAGTCTATCCTTAAGAAAATTTTTCCCGAAATTGGGCTTTGCGATGTTTTTTTATAACAAATTAAATCTATTGAATCTTAAGGCTAATATGTCATTTTTATATTCATTATAGAAAACTTTATACTCAATACATAAGTCATAGGCATAGTCAGAATTTTGTTAAGAGGTGGGAAAGAGGGATAGAGATCATTAGTACTACTTATTTGAGGCTTTGATTTTGTTATATTTTTTAAAAATAATTAAAGATTTATCACTTTATAATCTAAAAATTGAATTATCTTTTTCAAAAAATTATTAGCTCAACTTAATTTTCTTTCATGTGTAAATAGACATTTTGTAAACATTTTTGAAATGAGTAGGAGGTGGGGAGGGTAGGCATATGGGAATATTTATATTAGCCTAAAATGATATTTACGAGAACATACAAATTTCAAAAGGGGATAATTTTTCTTGTCCCCTTACCACCGTCTGGCTACTCCTATAACATCAGATATTTATAAGGTTTATAATACTTATTTATATAAATAAAACAAGGACATTTATTACTTGCTCTTTCTTTAAATTGTTGCACTAATTAGTTATATATGTGATAAAAATTATTTTGATGATATTTATAAATTTATGATCAATAATTATATAATTAAAATCAAATAATTTTATTCTAATCCCTTTAAAAAAGTAATATTAAAAATAATATTATATAAAAATATAATAAATTAAAAATAAAAACGCTTGTTTTATAAAATAGAATTGGGACTACAACTTCCAAAAAAAAACATGAACTTTAAAAATCGTAATATGATTATTTTGTTTCAAAAAACTAAATTTCTTAGGTTCTGATGTAAGGGCTCTTATTTTATTGCCTCTAGCTAAATCCTTAAATTTTTTAAAAAAATTTAAAGTTCCGCATGGCATATGTATAAAAAAAAGACATAATTTGTTTATTCAGAATATTTATTTATATTTTCTTTCTCATCTATATTAACTGAATTAGAATTTACATTTTTGGAAATGAAGAGACACAAGTGAAGTGCCAAATTAAAGATTTAACTAAAGATTAAGGTAAAGAAGTTAAACTATCTGGACTTCATCGTATGATGATATATTAGCAGACCCCAGGATATTTGGTTATCGGATCCTCGAAGAGAACAGCTAATAATTGCTGCACGTCTTGCATGTCTGCCTTGAACTATATATAAATTATCACCATGTCTTTTGAATCAACCGATATTTTATTTTTTATGCATGAATGTGTGATTGAACAATATTACATCCAAATTAGTGATCAATAGTAACTCTTAATTGCTTATCTAATAAGAGATTATTAGGCTTAGTAATGCTTCAAACCATTCATAAACACTAGTATGGTCAGCATTTCGTATTTTAAAAATATTCCAAAAGGGGATTTAATGAGAGTATTTAAAAAAAATTAAAGGTTGTTTGATATGTTCAAACGGTAGGTAACATAGCTTTAGGTAAAGTTAAAGATATCCAAACTGTCAGATGAAGAAAGAGATATAACATATAAAGGAAAATTTAAACCTATTATTTTCAAGGGTAATTGAGAGAAACCTCAGTTAAAATCTTTCAATATTGATATTTAAAATATTTTTTAATGTATTTATAAAAAACTGATGAAAACAAAATAATTTATTCAAAAATACAAGAAGAAAATATGTAAAATTTTTGGTAAAAATAATAATTTTTTTTAAATTTCCCTAATAGGTCTCTAGAAAAATTTTATATGAATGCCTCACAGTTGGAAAAACTGCTTAAAGGGGAACCAAGAAGATTAAGTTCCCTTTCTTTTATAATTTTAAACCCCAAGACTTAGAAGGAATTTGAATTAAAACACATATTTCAGATTTGGCTTTATTAAGACCTATTTTTAAAGAATTGAACTATGTAATATATCGCTGTTAAAATATTTTAGATAGTCCTCAGATAGTGCCATCATCCAGTTACCATATATTTTTCTCAAAGTTAAAAAGAGTTTTTATAGAGTGAATTAGGTTAATTTAATTAATTAAAAATTATTATTAGGCTAAATAAAACTGTTAAAACTTTAAATAATAAACAACAAGATGCCTTTATAATTTTATATTTTAAAAAATTTAGATCTGGCAACCATGCAAATAAAATGGGACCAAATATTTTTGATTGGGCCTAACTATTTATTTTCTGACCATCCTTAAATGAGAGTAGTAGAATCATGATGAAGAATATATATTTCCGGTAAGGCTAAATACTAGAGCATTCTAATCGTTTAAAAATTTTAAATAAATATTTTTGAATATTTTTTTTTTATATTTTACAAATTGTTGTTTCAAAAATAAATTAAAAATATAGGTGTAGATGCCTAAAGTATGGAAAAATATTCAAGCTATGATACGACGCTCAATTTTTGGCTTGATATCTTATACTTTTAACATATGTTGTTCCGCTAAGAAGATCTGATATGATTATTAATTTTATTTGGAAGAAAATATAAACAATGAAGCAGTTTTTAAAAAATATTAAAATTTATTATCTGACATATTTATTACAAGAGCAAGTGTGTCTTGAATTCTCAGCTCGACTTATGAACCATGATGGTAAGGTAAATCAAAATATAAATTTACTTGATTCGTTAGATATTCCTGTTAATTATAATTTAACAAAAAAAATGAAAACCTAAGTCTAATATGTTGACTTTAAAATAATTATAAATAATTACAAGGACGAGTTATACAGGAGGTTTGGGAATGTTAGAATATATATTTGAAGATTAAAATTTTTAGAATACCGAATTATATTCATACACTATACTTTTTTAAATAATTCATTTAAAAACAAAATTTTATTTCCCTAAAAAAGAGTTCCTTAAGTCTGTCCGAATCATATGACAGACTAGGATTGGAATCAGACTAGGAGCTATTCATATAAGGTTCTGAATGCATAGAAAACTTTATCAATTTATTACAGCAAAAAATTATCTGATATTGAAACCTGAAAAATCAAAAAAAAATGGCTCGAGCCTATCAGCTAGGTTATTTTTAAAATTGGCTTACAAACAAGAAATTTTAAACTGAAAATATTTATAATCTATTTTAATTTAATGTATTATATTTAAATATTTAATAATAGATATTACAATTTAAATGATGTTTATCTAATTATTTCTATTTATTACAAATTATGGTAGAAAAAAATAAATAGTAAATGTTTAACACCTTATACTACATTTACAAATAAATTTCTTATTTATTTTCAATTTATTTTAAAGTTTCTAATCAATTGACAAGAAAGGATGAATAGGAAGGTAATGTAATATTTATTATTTACTAAGTGGGCTGGCTTTATATTTCTTTCGTGATGCTACAGTAATCTAGTCGTCAATCCATTTTTAATCATTTATTAAAATATAATCTAAATAATTCCGAATAACATAATGTTATCTTTATCCAACAAATTGAATGTAAATGATTACCAATTTTTATTTCGATCAAGCGAGATCGAAAAAAATTTTTTTAAATAAAAATTCTTATCGGGTTAGATTAAAGGGAATTAGATAAGCTGGACTTTAATTCATGGTTTCTTCATCATAAAAATGACGTAAAATCGAAAAAAAAACTCTTATCAAGTCATATCGATTTATGCAATTTCTAAACAAAATACGCAAAAATTTAATCTTTCCTCACCCAATGCCCCCCCCCCTCTAAAAAGGAAACATTTCTAATTTTGGCTCTGTTTGCAGATCTCGGATAAATATATAGTTTTTAATAATAGATATCTTAATGTATAATATATGCATATAAAAAAAATATACGTGATAATTTAAAATAGCATACTTGCATTGAATTCTTTATATTTTTAGAATACAAAATTTATGCATATCAAATTAATTAAAAAATACAACTATTTATAAAATGACTACAAATTTTTCCTAATTTACTATGGGTTTTTTAGACACATGGTTATGAAATAATATTTAAAATATTCGTATCATTTTTATTGTTAATTAAAAATAGGCAGAGTTCTTTTTTTTTAAATTTCATAGTTCTTAGAATAAAAATTATTTCCTGGTCTATTAGACCAATGTTTAATAGGTAAAATTATCTTTTCATTTTAGAAAAAAAATATTATAAATTTATCATATTAATTTTTTAAAAAATATATAAAGATAATTTTTTATCCGTCAAAGAAAATAATCGACATAAATCACTCAAAGAATTACCAGGTCAAAAATCTCGTATTTAAGAAGAATTTTTTTTTGGGAGTTGGGGGGCGAATATAAATCTTAAGATGGGGTTCGGATTTCAGTTTTAATACTATTATTCACAAATATTATCACTTTTGTTAAAAAAATAATTACTCATTTCGTATAATTAAGAATTTAAGCTATACTATTTATATTTAAAGCGTAATAAATTTTGGCCCAGTAATGGTCCCAATCTAGGATTTTGTACAAATATTAAGATATATAATGTCTATTTGTTAAAAAATTTTGAAAGAAAAAAAAAGGGCAATTTTTATTTTATAACTATTTCTGGTTTTCTATTTACGGTTTTTGGTAATAAAATTGTTTTTAATATAATAAATTTTATAATATATTAAAGGGCTATTCTAGAGTTATTTAATAAAGTTTAAATTATACCTTTAGCTTAATTACTTTTTGAGATATTTAAAATTAAATATGGTGTATTTTGAAGCGTTTCTAAAGATGGCCATATCTCATGAAGTAAGCTGAGTTAAGAATTAAAATTTTATATTATTGCTAGTTAGTGTATATACTACCATCATGCAAATTTTAAAAAAAATCGAAGAGCGGGTTGAATCTTCAGTTGATTTGATATGGAATACAACATATTTTGAGCAATTCTGATTAATTTTTTATTAATGAAACGAAATTTTTCCTTTAATTTAATATAAAAGAGGATAATTTTGGTTTTGATTATAACTTTGCCTACTAAAATAGGTAAAGTAAAAAAAAGACCATGTATAGCAGAGAGGTGGTCATTTTTAATTTTCAGGAATGATATAGTCAAAATTCGTGTTGTTAAACTACACTTAACTTTAATCAACTATAAAACATCGTATAATGTATTTATCTAAAAATATTCGAATCAATCTTCAAGTAGAGACTCAACTTAGAAGCTTAATTCAAATTTTTAGGCTAAAAGCTTGATTAAGTCACAATAGAGATGGTCAGTTAAGTTATTTAACAACACTAGTCAAAATTTCATCACAAGGTTAAATTACATTAGCTTCCAGTCCAATTTCAATAAGCAATAACCAAGATTATGCTGTTCAGGTATTGTCGATAATCCATGATAGATTGTTCTACTGCAGTTATTTTTATATCATTTAATTTTGGCCCCGTATGAAGGGTAAACCCCAGTATCTTGGAGCACGCTCTTCAAATTAAATATATTTACAAGAAGGTTGGTTGATTTTTTCTATAGCACGTTTTAATTGAGTATCTCATGTTGAAAGATAATCTAATTTTTTTTTCTTGGAGTTATTTTGAAGTATTTTATAAACGATGTCATTTTTTGAAATAGATTGCACAAAATACTCCTATAATTATACAATTTATTGAAACATTTTACAAAAAAATTTATTGCTATATCGTGTCCAATAATTATCTGCTTTTGAAGAAATGTCTCTTTCATCCTATCTTGCTATTTCAGTAAATGCATTTATAATGGGCTATTCTAACTTCATAAATAAAGATTGGTTGATTGCAAAGGCTTATGTTCCAAGTTTAAAAAAAGCTTTAGAAAATGGTTAAATGATCTGGTGAAATTATTTTGTATGAAACCATATTGGGTAGTTGGTTGTTTTATTATCAGAGTTCTAATTTTATTTAAAATAAAAAAATAGTTGTTTTTTTAATAACAGGTTGAGATTGAGAGATATCAAGTCATTGATATCCTTATTTGAATGGTTTTTCTAATCAGTTCAAAAATAAAATGTTCCAACTTATCTCATTGATAATATCGTTGTTATTTAAGTGGTTAATTATTTTAAAAATACTACCTCTGTAGATGTAATTACAAAATAAGATACACAGACAAAAAGACACTGGAAAAAAAAATACCCAATGACAAAATAAAACCAGGCAAAAATTCCCCAATTTTAGAAATTTGTTTAAATAAAAGAGAGTAATACTAAAAATATTTTTGAAAATTGCCATTCTTTTCAGGTATGTACAGAAGATATGTCCGTGATTTGATGAGGTTATTTAAGCCACTAACTCATTTCTGCTATGATAAGAATTAGAATTTCCAAATAATTACATATAAATTTTTTACAAATATTTTCATAAATGAAAATATCAGGGATTGATAGAGGACAGTTTATTATCTGAAAATACAATTAATTTCCCCAATTATAATGCCTTAATCTTGTTAAATATTATTTTGATTTATTTGTGAATTATCTGCTTTCAATTTGTTATCAAAAGTATAGTCTATCATTTATTAGTGTTTAAAGAGTTTTTCTTTTAAAAAAATAAATTTATAATAACACCACCAGCAGTTAAACATTAATGATAATTTTTTAAATAATAATGCTTAGAAATAATATTTGATTTATTATTACAAAAATTAATGAATAAAAAAAAGAGATATTTTATTTAACAACATGTTTCAGAATGTTCCTAAACAGTTTACGGGCACAAAAATGATAATTTATATAATTTGCAATATTATATATGGGTATATAATTTACCAATTTAATATACTATACTTTGATCTATGCCATTTCAAAGAACAGGAACGATTGAATAGTTGGGGCAAAACGAGATAGAATTAAGGTTGGCATGCGTATGACCTTTTATAATACACTAGATGTGTGTACCTAAATTTTATCTGCAATATGGTAAAATATTTATTCATTTCTGAGATATATTTCAAAAGTCAAGAAAATATTAACTCGAATGGTCATTTTATGAAAGTTTTACTTTATATCATACTTATAGATATCAATTTCATAAAATGATTAATAATAGGCAAGATAAGATAGATAATTTATTAATACCTAGCCACCTATAAGATACAACTATTTATTGTAAATAATATAAATTTTATTATAAATAATATAAATTTTATTTGGATAAAATATTTATTATTTTGAATAAATTTACCAAGATTAACGAAATTTTTTACTAGAATATTTTAAAATAATATATCAATAAATATTATAATTTTTTTGTATTCATTTCATAATCGTTGGAACATATTATTCAATATAATATTTTAATTACTTTCTAATTATTAAAATAGGTTAATAGTTATATTTCCTGTAACAACCTTAACTTAAAATCAATTATTGCCCTTAAAGCTATTTATCATCAATTATTCATAATAATTATTTAAAATAAAGATCTTTATATTAATAAACGAAGGTTTTATGGTAAATATAATAACTGTTAATAAGTTAATCGGAAATATGATTCCATATTAGTATA